TCCATTTCCAGTACATTCACGTATATTAATATACATGTTCTGGAACTAACTACATATTTCAATGTTTTCGTAATACACTTTTGATATCCTCAAGTAAACAACTAATCATAAATATTTCAACCTAAACTAAAATGAATCAAAATTGCTTCGATTTGTAAAACTTCTGTGTAAATACCAACAGTATATACATTATAAGTGAATGGAATTGTAATCCGAGTCTACAAGTACTATTTTTCCATAATTCTTGTTCCTTCCAAGATATATATATATTTATACATATATAGCTTCACAATACATTGTTGGATCACTTTTCATATTTTCACGAGAATAGGAATCACTACTGAACGAACGCAAGTTTGATGGACCCTGAAATTGTATTTCGTCATCACGACTGAGCAAAGTATTGAAAATTTTCATCGACTGGATGTCAAGTTCCTTCACTGCTTCGTAGTTAACACTCGCAGTTCTAGCATCTTGAAAGGAACAGTTCAGCATTCTTAACAGCTCTCTTACCAGACCCGGTATGTTAATCCGGACCTTTGTTGCTACCTTGACGTGGTGGTCGGGCTTGACTATTGTGATGGACCAATCGAACTCTACTGGCTAGAACAATCGTTCCTCAAGCTCCTACCATGCCAGGCAGGTCGGCTGAAGAATGGCAAGACCAACAGTAATAAACCCAGGGGCAGAAGGAGAAGTCGTACTGCTGACTTTACAGAGGTGTGACAGCAGTAAGGTGTTTCCTTCAGACAACCAGCATGACAGCGATGCTGCCTTCCCACAAGGAGGGGTGGGGTTAGAAAATGTTGACCCTAAAAGTTCACACCTCGCCTTATATCACGGATATCCGTCTCCGGCAGTTAGATCTCAACAAGTACGGAGCTAACACGAAAACTACACACAAAAGGTCGTGTATGACCGACCTCAAGCGGTTGTCCCTTGGGCAAGTTACCGTGTTAGGTACCTCATAGCTTGTGATGAATTCTCTTCAGTAGGTGATAATTATTAGGAATCGTTTTTGGTAAAGCCTTCCCCACGATTTCAAAAAAATTTGAACGCTTTTCATACTAATGCCCAATCTTAGTATCATGTTTCATCAGACATGGTGGTTATAGCAGGTGACTTTAATGCCCAAGTAGGTAGCTTAAACCAAACAGGAAGACATTTGGGTGGGTAGTTTAGGATCCCGAATCAGCGAACAGATGATGGTGATCATCTGCTGCAACTTTGCCCAGATAATCGTTTATTCTTAGCAAACACTAATTTTAAGCATAAGGAGAAATACCGTCTAACATGGTGAACCCTACATCAAATCAACGATGGACTCAAATAGATCATATTGCCATCAGTCATCGTTGGAGAGGGTCGATAGAAGACTGTTTCGCGTTCTGGAGTGCATGATAAATACGAGAACGCATTTACTTGCACTTCACTGGAGGTAGAATAGCCACAGTAAGAAGACCCACTAGAATTGAATTGAATGACGAGAAAGCCGAAAGTAGATTCCAGGAACAACTGAGGTGGCACTTAGGTAGTTCTGAAAACGAAGCTGACCTAGATGTCGCTTGTAAAGATATACGAAGAGCTGTGGAAACAGCTGTTAGTTATTTAAACCAAATGGTTACAAAAAGCCAATGGATTTCTTCCAAGTCTATTGCATTGATAGATTCTTGTAAACTCATCCCACCAGACTCTGAACGCGATAAAGAGCGAAAGCGAATCAGATCTATGTTAAGCAAAAGTCTAAGGAAGTTGGACTTAATCGCATCTGACTGGTCACAATCACTAATTGTCTTAATATATAAGAAGGAATCAAAATCGTCTTGTGACAACCATAGAGGGATTAGTTTGACTAATATGGCATCTAAAATACTAGACTCAACAATTATCGGACGCCTAATCAAGACTCGTGAACTGCAAACACAAGAAAATCAAGCTGGCTTCAGACATCGTCGTGGCTGCAGCGACCACATATTCATCACTCTTCAGGTTCTAGAAAACAGGCATGCTTACCGGCGTCCGACAATGGTGGTCTTTCTTGACTTAGAAGCATCGTTTGACTCCGTAGACCGCGAGATTCTGTGGCAGTGTCTATCATTGAAAGGCGTACCTCAGAAGTACATAAACCTTGTGAAGGCTTTTCTGGACATAACTGTCGGGGTGATCCAGAAAATTGCTTGCAAAAGACAAGCAAGCATCAGGAAACACCAAGAAGCGTTTCATCAAATCAGCGTTCACTCGGAGTTTTTGCCAAAAAATATCAAAGAAGCGAATCGTCTCATGCAGAGGCTCTGATTGGTTGGCTGCTACACTGCTACTATTTTTAGTAGCATTTCCAAAATCTTCTAGAGACCCAAGGACATTTAAAATATTATAAAAACCCTGTATTTTCTGTATTAAAATGAACCTTGGAGTAAACTACTTCTCGCATACTTTGAGTCTTCTATCGCGTGTTCAGGTCGCTGAGTAGTTCTAGATTGGGGGTTACAGAATAGCTTAGGAGACGAATATAGCGTTCAATCTGCAAGACTTATCAATAACAGTTTTTCATAGACTGTAGGCTTGTTTTCCGATGAATGTAAGGAGATGTGCCACAATTTTATCACCATTAACATCTTTCTTGGTTATCTTCCAGATTTCAAACCTTTTCAAATAAATCTCAAAAGCTTCCGAAGTTGAACGAATGACCAACTGTTCTATTACAGGCTCGATCGCGATGCCAATATAATAACTAGGAGCATTTGAATTGTAGTACAAACTACGAATCCCAAAAATAACTCAACTTAAACAAGAAGTACTAGATAAGCATGGACAAATTTATTGTATTTGAAATTCGAAATCAAGTATTCAATAAGTACAAATGAATTGTTAATTCATGCAAACACCACAAGAATATCAATATTGTACCTCCCGTACTAATACATCGATTTTGGCATTTTTAATAAATTCAGTGTCTTTGACTAGTTGAAATAATTGTTGGATTCGTTAGTAAATATTAATGATCCCACCAAAAAATTAATCAATTAACACTTATGATCAAAATACTGACATAATTAGAATGAACTTCATGCAAATTTTAGAAAATAATTATAATGGAAGTTGACAGAAACTACATTTCACGGTGTTATTAGTTCTCTATTATGTTGTAATGAAGACAGGTCAACAGGTTAGCAGGCCACATAATAGATTTCGATCCTCTCAATCAATTCTTCCGTTTAGACACTAGTATCTATAATTGAAGACCACTGAATGAGGTGAGTGATTTCAAATATACAGAACACATTCAGTAGGGTTTATCGTCTATGCACCAGTGTTTGTCGCTTCATTAAATTCCTCAAAATGATGTATATCCAGATACTTGATGTGTCCTAATATCCGCTCGTTAACTAACATTGATGTTTCATTACACTTGATGATTAGAATTATCATTAAAATCAATCATGAAACAAATTCCTTGTTAAGAAGACTTTCAAAATTATGAATGCGTTTAGTCATTGTGTTGCAAATCAAGTTTACATAAATGAACTCGGGTTTCTCTGAACATCAAACGAGAAAAATAGAGTGATTTTAATTGCAAAAATATTTAATAGAAGTAACGCGATCCGTTAGGGTGATGATGAAACAAAAGAAGACAATAAGTAAGAGTCTGTTATTCACCGTGATCTGTCTCTGTTGTCATATGTGTATTGTAATCGAAAAGCTTTGATGTACCGTTAAGTCACAGATCTTATTATGTTTGTTTCTTGACTAGAAGTCATGAATATCAGCAACCGGAAATGAGAAAGTCTCATCAATACCTTTACACCTGTTGAATAAATCGAAGCATGTCTAGATTCAGTGGCTCAGTGGATAATGAGTTTGAGTTTGAAGTGAAAGGTTCGGGATTTTAGTGCTAGTCTATATGAATGGTAGATCCAGGTGACGAGTCCCAAATAATATGAAATATATGTTCTGAATTCAGCTGCTAGCCACATACCAAATGCAGTAAGAAAATCATTCTAAACAAAATTTGGTATTGATTCTTTTCTTATTTCGACACCTACATATCTTGTAGTATATAATCGTAGTTTTCATGTTCTAAGAAGCTTGAAAAGTTATGAGGACTCTATGATGATGACGGGACGCAAAATGTCTGAGCGTTACTTTTCCAGAGAAACAAATGATAAGGTTCGAACAGGTAGGTAAATGAATTTTTGTCCGCTAAAGTTTATGCTGATAATTGATTATTTTTAGAAAAAAGAGCAATTGTAAGTTCAATTCGTATCTTTCATTCTGCAATACCAAACCCATATGTTTTGGAAACTAAAAGAGTAAGGAATTCTCATTTGTGTTTTGTTGAACTGTACCTGTTTTGTGAAGTTGACTATATTTTGATTACTTCAAATACTAGTTGTTACTTTGAACTACACAATCATTTCCATTGATGTTATTGTAGTAAAAATTTGACCCTTGTGAATGGCCTAGTTGGAATTATTTCTGTGAGAATTTCTCAGAAAAACAATAATCCTTTAGATGCATTTTAGAGAGTGTTTATTTAAATTTTATTCCAACCAATGAGACAGTCAAATTCCTAATGACCAATTAGGTTATACAAATAGTTGCTATATAAATATACTCATCCATCAGTATGGTTTATTTAATTATATTGAACAGAACTGTGGAAATGAAGATTCTTGCAGTAAGTTAGATTCATTATGATTTATACGACTGAAACCTTCACGTAATACAATTCATCATATTTTTCTGATATATTTCTGTCCAATTTTCCAACAATGCAAATGAAGTCAGTGATATCATGTTAATCTAATTGTATACGGTAACAATTAGTTATCAATACAAATTGAATGGAATTACGTGAAGTCATGAAACGTGAGAAATTGATACTCCACTCAATATAATGTTACAAATACGTAATTTTTATCATTCGTAGAATCAAATTATTTGATCGCTGTCGTTTCCTAACTAAATCCGTTTAAATTCCTTCTTAGGTTTTCGGTATTATGTTAACTTATTTCTGTGCAGTAACGTTCGGAGCTGAAAGTCTTCACCGATGTAACAAAGATTTTGAGGCGACGATGGAATTTTGTTTCAAACAGAACAAACGTAATTCACGTGAGTGTTGGTAACAGATTATAATGAACTGCAATGTCAATACTTATCATCGATTCACAATGTCCAATGATGAACTTATTGTTTTGTCAACGTATTTTTATGCAAGATTTGTTAATTTGAAAGTGTTAGCTAAACAATATTGTGCATGACAATGAGCATGTGTTTGATTCACTTTCAAGTGACTAGTTTCTAATTGTAATAATTTCAGTATGTCAAGTTAGAGTTGTCATGTAGCTAGGAGTAAAACACTCCATCTCATCACCCTACAGTGAACATAGAGAGTTTCAAAACTGTTATACAACATAGAGTTTACTACTTGATGCATTATTTCTTCTGACTATATTTTGTATGAACAACAATCCATAATCGTTTGTAACTGTACTGACGATCATAAATTTGAGCGTATTAACACATTTGGTCAATGTGAATCTTAAAATTCTCTGCATATACCTATTTCATGCAACTACTTTTCCACAAATATATCCTTGAAGCAATTATAGATATAGTTAATTTTAAAATTAAATTGAATTTCATAATTAAGTACATGTGAATGTCCATCATCATCCACTTCAAGAAAAGTTTACTGCTACCATACACCATTAGCGTCCCATTGTGATTGTCACTATCATAACAACAATAATGTCATGTGTGGATGAACGTTTATTAAAAATTATTCGAAGTCCTATACTACTGAAATGATTTCTCAGTCTTATCATTGCGTATATGAAGACATGTCGGTTGAAATAATTTTTGATCTGTTAATTTAACTGTTCATTACCGAAAACTGTGTTATCTTGATTATTTCATAACTTTGTTAGTTTTCCTAAGCGGAGTTCTATCGAACTAATCGCTGTCATATAGATGATTCTTTATGCAAGTTAACTAATCTCTGTTCCAGAAGATTATTTAAATCACATTTACATCATGATTGAAATCCATTCAATGTAACCATTACTTTATACATGAAACAACATGATGGAAACGAATAACAGAATTCGTTATGTAAGGATTTGTTATTATTTTGTTATTCTTATTCGGAGGCCATTTTTATTTATCCGTATGGTTTATATCATGTCTTTTGAAACGCCATTGTTTGTCTCTTTTTGTTTAGATACGTTCACGGACTTAAAGAGTTTGAGAAATGCTTGCATGAGTGATAGATATTGCAAACCTAGAGCAAAGAATTGTCTTTTATCTGCACTTCAAGGTTCGGCATTCAGTAAATGTCCTTTACAAAGAACCTATATAAAATCAATAAATCGGATGTTCTGATTAACATCTGGTCATCTCTTAGTCTATTATTTGAATTTGTAATGTACAGATAAATAAAGTCTTTATTTTATTAACTGTAATTTTTCGAAACAATAATTACGGATGATAAATTATAAACAATGGCTTCACCAAATCTTAGTGAAATAAAGCTGGGTTAATGGTTAGTCATTTTTAGAATTTCAGCTTGATTTGCCTGATTAAGAATGTATTTGAAATAGAATAGATATGGCAAACTTGGAAACTTCGAATCTCGCAATGCAGGATCGTGAATGCGCACTGTTGAGTAGTCCCACAATAGGACGAAACAGCCGTCTAGTGCTTCCAGGTTTTCCATGGTGGTCTATTGAAATTATTATATTTCAGTCAATCATTTTATAATTGGCTTAATTTACCATGTGCTTGCACATATAGTTAATATAATAAGGAATTTTGTTCAATTTATGACATTATTTTACACGAACCTGTAGATATGAATTCTATAATTGTAATTCGATTACTTAATGAATTGTTCAACGAAACATCATTTGAAGAGTTGCTATACTTTATTCTTCATACCTGTCTCTAATAAGTATCTTCTCTTATTCCACTTTTTGTGTCCGATCATTTTCGGATCTAAAAGTCTTCAACCATGAAATGAAAAACTGAGAGGAACAATGAGATTTTGTTTTAAGCATGGGTTAAAAATGTCAGGTTAGCGTCGATAGCTTGTTTCAAATCTACATTTTTGTATTACACATGAGTATAAAATGAGACAACATTCGTTTATATTGCCTAATCCAAGGTTTAATGTAAGTGATAAAATTGGCCATTATCTCACAAGAATAGTAGAAGAAAAACTTGTAGTTCAGCCTATAAAACATGTCACTTGATACGTTAATATACATACCCTCTAAAGCTAGAAGAAAAACCTTGAGGATATAAGTTCAGTGATTTCGGAATCTATATGTTATGTTTTAGTTGCCCAAAATCTGACTCCAGTTAGATCGTTTCTGATTGTTATCGAAATATACATGTCGTCAATCCTCGCATATAATTACCAACTTAAATCGCGTTAGTGAATACTAGAATTTAATATGTCAAATACGAGAATGGATTTTTGAATAGGTATATTTTGTACAGTCGTTGATCGGAAAGCGAAATAAGACGAAATGACGTGCAATGCAGGTGAGTGAGCCAACTCAATTTAGCTAAGTATTAACCGACATTTAGTCAGACAAAAATAAGTTACAGACATGTGATGAGTAAGAATTGAAATGCACACAAATACGCTTACATAAAAACAGTCAAGTTTGATAAGTGAATAAGTGACAAGGTCAAAATGTAGCTTGAGAAAAGTAGATGAATTGGTTTGTCTAGAAGCTGAAATAAGCTATGTAGGCTTGACATAGGGCCAGCCACTACAAAGCCCCCCTATAGAAAACAGCATATTAATTTAAAAACATCTGTTTTCGAAAACTTCACAGAAGTGGTATGTGGTCAGCTTTATCAAGTAGCAAGAAAATTGTAATATATCTGATAGAGTACAGTGTCATGTGAGGGGTGAGTGCATTGTACGAAAGTATCACACTTATGTAAAAAAGTAAATGAATATCGTAAAGACATGGACAAAAATGGAAATGCTGGGATGAGTTCATGAGTAGATCAGTAAGCGTACAAAAAATTAAAATGCATTTATGTCGTGACTGTCTAGACGACAAAGTAACGCATTCATATGAGCGATTCCATGTATCATGAAAACAAAGTAATAAATCGTTTATGGGTATGACAGCGGAATAAATCATAAAAATAAGGTAGAATATAACGGGAATCGGTCTGTGGTATCGACAGAATATAAAAATAAAGGATAGTTGAGTATGAGCTTGTTCTAATAAGCTAAAGTAATATAAATGGCGTCGATTAGCGATTAACGGTTTAGTATTTACGTTGGGTTTATGTGGGATAAACATAATCTAGCGGTAAGATGATAACTATATTGATGAGTGATATTCGTTGCTGTACTGCAATTGATGATAATCACAAAATGCAAAAATAGTGTAAGTTGTCGTTTGCGTCATAAACAGATGCATCGAGACATCGTTAAATACTTATATAGAATGACCAGAGGAACAGAATAGTGACTGAGAGGACGAGATATGCGGATTCGTATATCTGTTTGGTCGTTTAGCTTAGAATGGTTTATGTTGTTTGAAGAATATGCACTTGACCTCGTCCGTTGAAAAACCGTATCAAGGCATGATGTTTATCTATGATGGCGAGTTATACTGTCTTGGATGGGACGAACAAAAGTGTAACCTTGAGAGACTGGCTCTAAACTCTGTTCTGATATACACTGCGACTGAAATAGAATCTTAATTGCAGTAACAGGTGATATAGCGTGCAGTTATACACGTGAACTAATAAACAAGATGAACATAACCGTTACTAATCGGCAAGTAGTGAGTTGCCGAATATTTTATGTGTGTATAGATGTTAAAGTAAAGATAGTCGATTTTTTTTAATGTCTGAAGTTCGATTTAGATTGTCGTTGAAAAAGTAGGAAACGACGATTGCTGCGTACAAATGCAATGAATGAAAAATTGTTTCAAATTGAGAACATAAGTTCCTACTACCTGAAGTAACTCCAAACTTATGTCTATGATAAAGTTGCTAACCGTTGCCAGCGTCGAGGTAGTTGCGACCATGTCGTTATCAGAGTGCAGGAGGCTCACTTGGTTGCTTAAACTGAAGATTTGTGTGCATGCTCTAGACCGTCAATTTACCTAGTAGTTTGCAGGTTGTTCGGTGTACGAGTAGCTAGTAAATACGTCGGGAATGTATGACATGTGATAGCCATATATCCACAAAAATGGATGATAATAATTAAGCCACTTGTGTGATAAATGATCCAGAACATACTAAAACTGATCGGTCTTAGCAAAAGTATTATTAGAATCAGAGGCATCCGCAGACATAATAGGAGACGATATCAAAACGAAAAATGGATGGTGAGATAACGTAAAAATGACCTCAACTATGTGGATGAGTGTAAAATTCTTGCAAAAATGACACGAAAAAATAGAGCGAATTCATTTAAAGCAGGAAAATTTTACTTCATTGAATAATAAAAAATTGTCGAGTGAGCTTCAAATATCATAACGCGAATGGAATGTGCATAACATTATAATTTGTTCAGTGAGTGATATGATTACGTAAATGTCATGATTTAATGTCGGCACGAACAAAAATAACAATTCCGTGTTAGGTGATGATATGACATTAATGTGATAATGAGCACATGATAATTATTTGAATCGTAGTGGGATAATCCGCCAAACGAATCGATGAGAAGAGTTGACAAAAGGACAAAGTACCGATAAAATGATACAATTTGAGCATGTCCATGTCGCTGTCGTACCAGCTTCCATGAATGCGCCGGATTAGAGATCGAGTCGTTCGAGTTGCTCAGCGACTAAGTCAGCCACTTAGTCCGTTTATCAGACGTATAGAGTTCGTGATGTTCACCGTATGCGCAGATTTGCAGGGTGCGTTTAGTTTGAAATTGAGTTTACACTTTAACTAATGGTATGATGATATTATAGATGAGGTTTTCCGGAAGCTAGAATAACCTATGTGGTCTTGGTGTAATGATAGAAGTTACAATGTGACTACAAACTAAAACGCCCTATGTAACATAAATTCCACTTGATCCTCTGTGGTTTCTTCCCACTTACCAGTCACATTCCTTTTGAAGGTTAACCAAAGTGACTTTAAAAAATCCTAACATTATTTAAGAACAAGGAGTCTTATAGGCGAACGACTATCTCATTTGACAAACTTTTACCCCAAAAATTATGTTGTAAATGAAAAAAGAACCACAAATTACGGTATTACGCGTACTAAATAATTGCTTGATAGTAATATAATTGGTTATGAATTTGAATAGCAGACATTACGTCACTTCCGTTTATAAGTCCTGCAAAAATTCATTGATATCAAAATTAGTCTAGAATTAATTTCTATCATTTAATAACCTGATTTATATTTGATATACCACTGTTTTATCCCTAAATAAACATTCTCAGCAATGAAAAATCTGATTTCATCAGATTAAGCGATGCTTACACTTTAGGGAATAATACTTTGACAAATTGTTTTCGGTAACAAGAATAAAATTATTCATGATCCCAACAGTTTATGTGAATTACATTTATTTCGTAAGTATATTCCAGTTATTATAACAATTATCTTATTTATGAAACAAAATATTCGACTAACTTTTTTGATAAAGACGATTTTCATGAGATCGTTCGAAATTTACTCATGAATTTCTTCTTACTCAGGAAGGAATCATAGACTCTCGAGATCTGAAAACAATGAGAACTATTTACATACAGAATCCAAATTGCAAATATCTGACAAGAAACAGTCTTGCATCGGAATTTAAAGGTCGAGTATTTAATAATTGTCCGATTGCTAGAACCTATATAAGCTCGATCAGTCGTATATTTTGATTATACATACTACATACCACATATTTCTAATTACTTCCTATTCTGTCATTAACATCTTCCTCACATGAACATCAGTAAAGTACTACTGACATTAATGATGACTTCCAATAGAACCAAAATAATGAGAAAAGTGCTTGATACAAGAGACAGCTTTCGTCACGTGTATGAAACAAATTAACTGTAGTATTGATAATAGCTTTCACAAACATTTAATTAGGTGAAGTGAATATTTTGGTTCACCATAATCCTACCAAAAAGTATATTTTATATCATACAAACAAATGACTTGAAAACTTAGATTTCAATGTATGAATTCACTGGGTAAAATCACAGTGGGTTTTATATAAAATGTCAAACTGTTCCTCCCAAACATATTTTACTTTAGAATAGATTAGATTCCACAGAAACATATCCAAACCAATTTAAAACAACTACAATTAATTATATTTTCCTAAGTAATTTATTTCTAAGTAGAGTATTAACAAAAAATACAGTATGATTTAGTAAAAA